TATCTCAAGTTTTTTTTTAAACTTAATTCATTTATAATGGACATTTCAAAAGTTGCGCTATTTTGTAACACGCACTTTTAAATAGTAATTAAAAAAATAAAATGTTTTCATTTAAACTATTACATAATGAAAACTATTTATTACAATGACACAAATCAGTGAAAAAGATATACATTAATTTTAAATATTTATCACACAACTTTTAACAAGAATAGAAAAATAACCCATAAACATATCTCAAATCTTGGATAACAAATCAGTAAAAAAAAAGTAAAACATCGACACAAGGCTAAATTATTTAAGCACAATCAAATGTACAACTATCGTTCAATTGGTGTCACACACTTACACACACACACACACACACACACAAACACACACACATATACATACACAGACAATTACACACTTGTGGGCTGTTTTATAATAATTTTCTTATCGAATGATATGTATATTTGTACATTTTCTATGTGGTTTCACCCCAATTCAGTGGACGGTGGAATGGCGTCAATTTTGTGCAAACAATATATTAATCTACCTAGAAAAAGCATTTGGGGGCCTAATTCTAACAGTTATTTATTCAACTTCAAAATCATTGTTTTTGTAGTAAATTATAAAATTTGGTGCCACCCCCCCCCCCACCCCACCCCAGACATGGATTCACACATACGTTATTCTGATTCTCAGCTAAACCGTTTACCTCAGACAAATTTTGCAACGTTTAGTAGATGTAACTCCCCCCCCCCCCCTCCCCCTTTCCGGGTGATAGCTTTAAACTGCGCACATATAATACTAACGATGTTCATCTATAGTCGGTTATTAATACAGTTGGATGTAGCAATGTTTTCTCTATCATTAGCAGGATAACGTCGGGATTTGTCAACTTTGCTTTAAAAGACTATTTAGCTAATTATAGTGAATCGTTTAATTAATTGGAATTATGATTTTTCTTTATATATTTTGCAATTTTTTGCCTTGGTGTCACCCCCCCCCTAAATGGTGTCACCCGGTGCGGTCCGCCTTCCCCCCCCCCCCCCCCACCCCCACTCGCTACGCCTCTGTCAATCGACACCTTTAACTAGCTTTGTAATTCTTGAAAAAACATTTAGATGTTCAAGTCAAGATTGTCTAATATTAGGGTGAATAAAAACGTGCAAGTTACCATCGATTACATTTGATCTAATTGTTGAACTGTTGGTTGTGCTATTGAAAGGCCGCGCTAGAGTTAGAGAGAAAGCGGCTGAGAAAACAGGCGATAACTACCATTGATGGCCTCAAAGGATGCCATTGTGACGTCAGGTGCAGACTTGTCATACACAATTGGCCTCTCTTCCCGGCCCCGATTAGCCGTTCAATTATCAATTTAGAGTCTATTATGTCTACAGTTCATTCAGTAATTCAGTTTGGTTGACAGACCTTAGCCACCCTTTGGGAGTTGCAAGCTCAGAGTTCAGCAGACATGCAAGTGTTTTCTTTGCTGCTAGCTAGCACATAAGACATGGTTAGCTGTCTTAAATATCGTTGTAGTCACATACGTTACTTAGGTCATAATTTATGATGATAGTCACATATGTTACTTAGGTCATAATTTATGATGATAGTCACATATGTTACTTAGGTCATAATTTATGAGGATAGTCACATATGTTACTTAGGTCATAATGTATGAGGATAGTCACATATGTTACTTAGGTCATAATTTATGAGGATAGTCACATATGTTACTTAGGTAAGAATTTAGCGTATCATCTTATAACATAGTTTATCAGTCTCTATAATATTTTAAAAATCATAAATTAGTTTTTTACAACCTTTTATTTAACTTGCTTCTTCAGTCCTAATATTGTCTAGAACGAAACTGGAGAGTGAAATTTCGGATACTTCTAACAGATCAATTTTTTAAAAATTCGGCACGTGGGTGAAAACCCAAGGACAATGCAATATGACAAAATTTGACTTAATTGGATGCATAATTAATTTTTAATGAGTTAGTTACGATAGTCTCAAATTATTAGTCAGTCTGTCTTATCCAACTATACCGCACTATTATACGCGCGCTATGTTCATAGTTTTTAGTCATGCAACTCTATTTTACGAGATGAATGGCCCGTTGAAGGAGAAATACAACGGGCGCTAGGTTAATAGTATTGCCTTTTTCTCTAAATCGAAACAAAAACCAAAATCATCACCTCAACTTCAAATTTAACCGGAAACGAAAAATTTCATTGAAAACAGATTTTTATCCAGAAATCGGCAATTTAATCAGATTTAAGCTTGATCTACACGTAGTTACTGCACATTGATACTAAATATAGTCGTAGCCCTAAACCTTGCATATTAGCTCAAACTTGACAAAAGTCGTATTTAGAGTTTCTTTCAGGGGTTGGGTGGTTGGGGGCAGAGCTTTCCGTCTCTCACCTTCGACAGTGTTTCTTCCAGACTTTTTTTCTCCGGGGGGGGGGGGGGGGGCACTTGAAATTTTTTGGGGGGGGGGGGGGCGGTAGACTTTCTTCGGGGGGGGGGGGGGCGGACACTGTTAAAAGTATATATTTTCTATATAAATTATATTTATTTAATTTCGTCCAGGGGGGCGGTAAAAATTTTTCGGGGGGGGGGTGCTTGCCCCCCCCCCCCCCCCGAAGAGATACCTGGAAGAAACTCTGCCTTCGAAGCACCGTCTGCTATTACGAAATAGAATTTATATAGAAAATATACTTTTACCAGTGTCCGCCCCCTACCTCCGAAAATTTAAAGTACCCCCCTCGGTGGAGAAAAAAGTCTGAAAGAAACACTGGTCACATTTGTAGATCATACAGACTAAAGGTAGACCCTACTTCTATAATCTAGACCCGCTTGCTACTTTTGACCAATAAACCTAACTCACGCAGACTGTGTTTCTTTCAGACTTTTTTTCGGGGGTGGGGCACTTGAAAATGTGCAGGGGCGAATAAATTTCTCTGGGGCAGAGGGAGGCCGACACTGGTAAAAGTATATATTTTCTATATAAATTATACTTCGTTGTGGAGGGGGGGGGGGGTGTTAGACGTTCTACGGGGGGGGGGGGGGGGGGGAGCTTCGCCACTACCCGAAGAGATACACGAAAGAAACTCTGCACGCAAACCATTTTTAAGATTAGACCAATTGATTTTAATTATATGTTTACTCGAGAATCAATGACGTCATATTATTGTGTATACTTTCCCGGCTTTAGACTATTTCTTACTATATGTTACATGTGACGTCACGTTTCGTTTTCGTACGACTGTGAATGTTTTTACTTTGCTTGTTTTCTCTATAGTAAAAGCGTTTCCAACAGATATAGTGACAGATAGAGTGACAGACTATTATTATAGATTAAATAATTTAAAGTAATGAAAAAAATAGCATAAAAACGTTTTAATAACAATCTTTTATTTAATAACTACCCGTCGGTACTCGTTACACGCGAATGATAGGCCTATATATTTTAACGTTATACGTGTTTGAGAAAAATATTTTATAAAATAGTTATTGCTCAAAACGCTATGTGCTTTACAACACGTTGAACGATATCAGTGATAAGCAAAGAAATGACTAACTATCTAAAAATCCGACACATTAAAAATAACAAGGCAATCAATACCTATTAGAAAAATTAAAACCAACTTATATACGTTATTATTTAACACAACACCATATTAAATGATAAAGAGCCTTGAATGATTCCATTAAAAACCCTGATGTTCAATGGTCATTATGTTGTTTTTTTAAAGTAATTTGACCGAGACACTTATACCCTAACCCTAACCCTAACCCTAAATAAGTACTTCTGGTCAACGGAAATTACTCAAAATTTAACAGAAGGTAGAGAATTAGATCCTTTACCTACATGTGAAATGTCATTGATCTATCTGAAATAGTACTCAAGTTATAGGCTTTTTAAAAATTCAAAGTAGAAAAAGTACTATTTCCGGTTATCGGAAATCGCTCAAAAGTTGATACGGATCTACGATTTTGATAAAATACTTATATATGAAATTTCATCAACCTAGCTTTAACGATACTCAAGTTATCGTGTTTACACACTGACAGACAGACAGACACACACACACACACACACACACACACACAGACACACAGACATACGGACAAGATTGCAAAATTATGTTTTTCCGTATCAGTGAGGTGTAAAAAATCTCGATTTTTTTTTCTGCACGATTACAAGACTTTCTCTATACTTCGTATATACGAGAAAGTAAAAAAGCCTACAATATGAACGACTATAATAAAAACGCCTACAATATGAACGCCTACATTATGACCGCTAGAATATGAACACCTAGAATATAAACGCCTACAATGTAAACGATAATAATATGAACGCCTACAATATAAACGCCTACAATATGAACACCTAGAATACAAACTCCTACAATATGAACATCTAGAATAAAACGCCTACAATATAAACGCCTACAATATAAACGCCTGTAATAAAAACGCCTACAATATGAACGCCTACAATATGAACGCTAGTATATGAACACCTAGAATACAAACGCCTATCATATGAACGACTGTGATAAAAACGCATACAATAAGAACGACTCTAATGAAAACGCATACAATATGAACGACTATAATAAAAACGCCTACAATATGAACGACTATAATAAAAAACGCCTACTATAAGAACGACTATAATAAAAACGCCTATAATTTGAACACCTATTAAAAAACGCATACTATATGAACGCCAGGAATATAAACGCCTACAATATGAACGACTCTAATGAAAACGCATACAATATGAACGCCTGTAATATATATGCTTACAATATGAATGCCAGTAATATAAATGCTTACAATATGAATGCCTGTAATACAAACGCATACAATATATACGCCTGTACGCGTTTGTTAAAAATTATCCCTGCCCAATTGTACTTGTTATATCTAATTTCGAGAAAAATGTATCGTGTTTTCCGGACAATGACAACGCTAAGAAAATGTTTACTTACCCACTCGTTTGTTAGCCTTAAAAAGTGGATGTTTTGTTGAAACTTAAAATGTTGAGCAGGAAAAATGTGTCTAGACCTAAATGAAGTGACTTGGGTAAGAAACGTCAGGTGGGGCGATGCTTCATTTGACTACCAACCGTAGCAGGCGAGCCACGAACTGCCAGACGACACTCGCGCGCGTGGGATCTGGCTCGGGCTGCTGAAAAACTTCCTACACAAAACGGAGGTTCGGGTTTATCAATAAACTCATGGTTAAAACCATTTGAAATATGTCTTTAGCCGTGTTTACGCTAGCTGCTCCTACTCTAATCACTGGTATTTCATTGAATTCCTACGGCAAGCTATATATATATATATATATATATATATATATATATATATATATATATATATATATATATATATATATAAACGACTAAATTTGTCTATAGATGAAAATGATAAGTATTATAGTTTGTCTATTGATGAATATACCTACGCTAGAAAATAGACTTTGTTTATTGATGACATTTATACCTACACTAGACAACAGACTGTCTATTGATGTCATTTTTACATACATCCAACTTAGGTTACTGAGGTCTCAGAGACTGATTATTTGTAAATGCTTGTTGCAAGTAGCGGTACTAGCAATTGTGCAAGCTTATTCAGAATACAATCGTAAAGGGAGAGACTTAAAATAGCTCGATTAGTCATCCATCATTTCAAGTCCATGCGAACAACAATGTGTGTATTGACTACTAGAGTCAAAATGTGTTATGTTTGATTGCAAGTGCAAAAGTAAAATGGCAACCAAAGAGAATAATTAAAGATTGGTATTAAAACTTGGTCGTGTGTTCTGTTTTTTGTTGGAATTAATATTTATCGGTAGATACATTACATAGGAATCGAAAAACTTAAAAAGTAAATATAACCAGCTTTTGCCCATGTACTAAAAATAAAGACATTAAAATTATTTCTATGATTTATGATAATCCACAACTATTTATACCCCCTGTAAAGAACAGCGTATCAACAAACACTTTAAATGTATGGACCTTTCTCTAGATATAAATATGTCTCTAAACGATGGCACATTCATGTGTGAATACACCCTTAGACTAATCTAATGTCTGAATACACCCTTATACAAATCTAAAGTGTGTACAATTTCGTCAGAAGTTTGATCTAAAAGCGGGTGACACAAACACGATGCATTAAGGCAGAGAAAAGCTCGCAATAATCTATAGCCAGTTAAAGTTTGCCGTACAAAAGTGGTGGGCCTGATGAAGTTATAGCCACTTAAAGTTTGCGTATTGTTAACGCATTAAGTTCCCTAACTGAAACCATGTAGCCATCAGAGCTGGGTGGATTCTGGAGCATGTCTGAGCGGACCCAACTCGAGACTCCTGGAGTAGACATCTGGAGCTCTACCATTCGACCACACGTACAATGGCCAACAACTGAAAACAAAAGTCTGTTGGTCACTATGAAAGATGAACTCTTGATGAGTCGAGAATAAAAAAAAAGTCTGTTGGTAACTATGAAAGATGAACTCTTGATGAGTCGAGAATAAAACAAAAGACATTGTAGTATGTCAGCGGGCGTCTGGCGAGGATCTTTGATTTTCCTCCAGTAGACAAAGCCAGTCAGACCTGACTGCTTCCCTCATGGGGCGCTGGGCTTCAGATTTCCAGCATCAGCCGTGGCCGCCCACATTTATGTACATTAGAGCCTGTTAGGCCTAGCAGTCGCCTGAAATGATCAGGTCTGTGCTTTAAAAACAGTTCACATCATTTCATTGTTTACTTCAGACTAATATTTGTATTCAAGTCAACCAATTTTGGTCAGATTTAGGTCCCATGACTCAGTCTTGTGCGCCATCAAATGTCAATCAAATGTGCATCCTGTCAGTCAGATGGAACATTATGTGGCGTCTGGACTTGCATTGAATGATGTTTACTTCAATGTCACCTTCGTCAGCCTGAAGATAATAGCGCGATTGTATGACGTACATTTGGTAATACATGATACTGGAGGTACGGATGTGGCTATCTGGAGGTACATGTGTGACTATCTGGAGGTACAGGTGTGGCTATCTGGAGGTACAGGTGTGGCTATCTGGAGGTACAGGTGTGGCTATCTGGAGGTACAGGTGTGGCTATCTGGAGGTACAGGTGTGGCTATCTGGAGGTACATGTGTGGCTATCTGGAGGTACAGGTGTTGCTATCTGGAGGTACAGGTGTGTCTATCTGGAGGTACAGGTGTGGCTATCTGGAGGTACATGTGTGGCTATCTGGAGGTACAGGTGTGGCTATCTGGAGGTACAGGTGTGGCTATCTGGAGGTACAGGTGTGGCTATCTGGAGGTACAGGTGTGTCTCTCTGGAGGTACAGGTGTGGCTATCTGGAGGTACATGTGTGGCTATCTGGAGGTACAGGTGTGGCTATCTGGAGGTACATGTGTGGCTATCTGGAGGTACAGGTGTGTCTCTCTGGAGGTACAGGTGTGGCTATCTGGAGGTACATGTGTGGCTATCTGGAGGTACAGGTGTGGCTATCTGGAGGTACAGGTGTGGCTATCTGGAGGTACAGGTGTGGCTATCTGGAGGTACAGGTGTGGCTATCTGGAGGTACATGTGTGGCTATCTGGAGGTACAGGTGTGGCTATCTGGAGGTACAGGTGTGGCTATCTGGAGGTACATGTGTGGCTATCTGGAGGTACAGGTGTGGCTATCTGGAGGTACAGGTGTGTCTATCTGGAGGTACAGGTGTGGCTATCTGGAGGTACATGTGTGGCTATCTGGAGGTACATGTGTGGCTATCTGGAGGTACAGGTGTGGCTATCTGGAGGTACAGGTGTGGCTATCTGGAGGTACAGGTGTGGCTATCTGGAGGTACAGGTGTGGCTATCTGGAGGTACAGGTGTGTCTCTCTGGAGGTACAGGTGTGGCTTTCAGGAGGTACAGGTGTGGTTATCTCAAGTACAGGTGTGGCTATCTGGAGGTACAGGTGTGGCTATCTGGAGGTACAGGTGTGTCTCTCTGGAGGTACAGGTGTGGCTTTCAGGAGGTACAGGTGTGGTTATCTCAAGTACAGGTGTGGTTATCTCAGGTACAGGTGTGGCTATCTGGAGGTACTGGTGTTTCTGGAATACATGTCGTAATAGTATCATGTATTCCCTGATGTTTAGGGAAGTACATGTAATAGTATCATGTATTACCCGGTGTTTAGGGAATACATGTCGTAATAATATCATGTATTCCCTGGTGTTTAGGGAATAGTTGTAATTGTATCATGTATTACTTATAATCTCCCCTTAGTTTTAAATCGTTTAAAAACTAAATTATGTGCCCCTAATAGCCGTCACTTATTCGAACCAGCTCTACTATTGTAAACATTCGCGGTTAACCATAGCTCATCTGACAGGTGGGGATGAGGGTGGTGGCTCGTATGGTCCTCATGAAGAGAATTATATATATATATATATATATATATATATATATATATATATATATATATATATATATATATATATATATATATAGCTCCTATCAAATCAGAAACTTTTACAATCATGCAGATTTAAAAAAAAAACCTAGTAGCTAATCTTGGTGGTTATAGATTGGTTATAGTCTATGTAACATATATCCCCATTTGTGTATAGTCTATATAATACATATCAGCATATTTCGAAACAATATACAGGCTAGAGATGTGTGACTACAAGGTTAGCTTGTTCAATCTTAAGGTCTGAGATCTGTATCACAAGATTAGCTTGTTCAATCTTAAGGTCTGAGATCTGTATCACAAGGTTAGCTTGTCAATCTTAAGGTCTGAGATCTGTATCACATGGTTAGCTTGTCAATCTTAAGATCTGAGATCTGTATCACATGGTTAGCTTGTTCAATCTTAAGATCTGAGCTCTGTATCACAAGATTAGCTTGTTCAATCTTAAGGTCTGAGATCTGTATCACAAGGTTAGCTTGTTCAATCTTAAGGTCTGAGATCTGTATCACATGGTTAGCTTGTTCAATCTTAAGGTCTGAGATCTGTATCACATGGTTAGCTTGTTCAATCTTAAGATCTGAGATCTGTATCACAAGATTAGCTTGTTCAATCTTAAGGTCTGAGATCTGTATCACAAGGTTAGCTTGTTCCATCTTAAGGTCTGAGATCTGTATCACAAGATTAGCTTGTTCAATCTTAAGGTCTGAGATCTGTATCACATGGTTAGCTTGTTCAATCTTAAGATCTGAGATCTGTATCACAAGATTAGCTTGTTCAATCTTAAGGTCTGAGATCTGTATCACAAGATTAGCTTGTTCAATCTTAAGGTCTGAGATCTGTATCACAAGGTTAGCTTGTTCAATCTTAAGGTCTGAGATCTGTATCACAAGGTTAGCTTGTTCAATCTTAAGGTCTGAGATCTGTATCACATGGTTAGCTTGTTCAATCTTAAGGTCTGAGATCTGTATCACATGGTTAGCTTGTTCCATCTTAAGGTCTGAGATCTGTATCACAAGGTTAGCTTGTTCAATCTTAAGGTCTGAGATCTGTATCACAAGGTTAGCTTGTTCAATCTTAAGGTCTGAGATCTGTATCACAAGATTAGCTTGTTCAATCTTAAGGTCTGAGATCTGTATCACAAGGTTAGCTTGTTCAATCTTAAGGTCTGAGATCTGTATCACAAGATTAGCTTGTTCAATCTTAAGGTCTGAGATCTGTATCACATGGTTAGCTTGTTCAATCTTAAGGTCTGAGATCTGTATCACATGGTTAGCTTGTTCCATCTTAAGGTCTGAGATCTGTATCACAAGATTAGCTTGTTCAATCTTAAGGTCTGAGATCTGTATCACAAGATTAGCTTGTTCAATCTTAAGATCTGAGATCTGTATCACATGTTTAGCTTGTTCAATCTTAAGGTCTGAGATCTGTATCACAAGATTAGCTTGTCAATCTTAAGATCTGAGATCTGTATCACAAGATTAGCTTGTCAATCTTAAGGTCTGAGATCTGTATCACATGGTTAGCTTGTCAATCTTAAGATCTGAGATCTGTATCACAAGATTAGCTTGTTCAATCTTTAGATCTGAGATCTGAATCACAAGATTAGCTTGTTCAATCTTAAGGTCTTAGATCTGTATCACATGGTTAGCTTGTTCAATCTTAAGGTCTGAGATCTGTATCACATGTTTAGCTT